TCGCTCGACAACGTCTGGTGATGATGATCAGAAATCCAGCACAGCTGATCCTGAAGATGAACCCCTGAAGGAGAATGTGGTACAGAGAAAGTTGCATGAGTGTATCAGTCTATTTAACTTACTTCATGCCATCCTTGCGTTAAGAGAGTAGGGGAGGGCAAGACCTTTAATTTGTTTCTTAATACTTCCTTAGTACTGAATTGTGTGCCAGATAATTAATCCTCCAAGCATTCTTGTGAGATGGCCAAATGAAATGCTTAGAGCTACAGTCATCATGTCAGTGGGGAGCATATTAGCCAGGTGTCCCTGTGTCCTGTAGCCCATTCTCTTGCTCATTTTGGAATATGTTCTTTTCTTATTTCAAATATTTCTATTATATCTGGAATATATATTCTTAAAGAATGGCATAGTAACTGAATATAAATCCCTCATGCTTGTTCAGTATTGAAGAAAGAACATATTTATGAAAGAATTGCACTTTTTATTGATAAAATTAATTTTCAATATATATTAGAATTAGACAAAAAACACTTGGTTTTCGACTGACACACGTAGACTGCAATTAATGTAAAATGCTTTTGGCTGACGTAGCACTCCAGGCACACAGAGTAAGAGTTAACTCTGCAGATCTGGGAAAGCAGGCCTATGTTAAAAGAAGATACGCCATAGTTTGCACAGAAGTTTTTTTACATACTGAAATTCATTGGAACTGTAACATTCAGTACAGAAGTGTAGTCTTCCATCAGTAAAGTGAAGCATTCTTGTGGAATTGCTGCTTTGTGTCTGTGTGACAAAGTGTAAGTAGAGAAAGGATTGGGACAGAATATGGGTGAAAAAGAAGGTAAGGAGGCACTGTTGATTAGAGAACTGTCAGTACAGGGTGAGGGCTGTGCTGAACTGAGGGGCCCTCTGCTCCTTAAAATGTTCCTCCTGCTGCACGGGGGTGGCTGAGGTGTCAGTCTGGCAATCAGGCAGCTGCTGCCCCCAGCAGTGCTGCCACTGTGCTGCATTTCTGGTGAAATAGCCCTAAGAAATGTCGCTGATGGTTCAGTCATCAAAGGCTGAAATACTGTCCTATGTTCTGCCTGCTTGCTGTTTCTTAGAATTTTAAATGAGTAAACCTAGGGGTTGTTTTTTTAAATTAATCTGCTTTTTGTATCACAGAAGGCTCTGAATGCTACTGAATTCCAGGCAAAAAAGAAGCGGCCTTCAGAGGAGAACACATCAGATCCTTCTGGTAAGGTAGACCCTTCAAAACTCCCATATGGCTTTTCCTCTTTCAACATGAGTGCTTTTCCACAGCTTACTGGTTTTCACTTCCAATACGTAGCAGCCTAGTGCTTCTAGAAATGTGAGGTTTTAGTTGCAGTTTTGTTCTAGACAATCTACACAATTAGCAATGGCTACATCATGGAGCTCCTGTTCCACACAGCTCTCATCCCCATGGTTTGCATCCCTGGGCTTGCCTGTTACTCCCCTGAAGGGGTAAAGCATAGGTATGCATTATCCCTCCCACGCAGCCTGGTTCCCTTTGGTGGGAAGTCTGGGTTCATGGGTACAGAGCTGTAAGACACAAGTTAGGTCACAATCAAGTACTAGAATTACATTTGGCAGCCTGTGAAGAAACATGGTTTAAGGTTTTGTGGAATTAGCTAATAACACTATTGCAAAGTTTAAAGAAACGTATTTGTACATAACTTTTTTTGAGGCACAAATGGTGTTAGTACAAAATGTATACAAATATGATATAACAACTCATGATTCCTTAAGGAGTGCAGGTTGCCCAAACTCAGGCAAGTTGTTTTTGTAGCACAAACAGCTGTATCTACAGCACACTGTATAGTTTTATCATTTGGTGTAATGATGTGTTCCTGGACTTGTCTGAAATGATGAAGAAGAAGTTGTATGTAATAAGTTGTATATAATTGATCATCCAAATTCTTAAGTATTTCCAGATAAGTCTATCATAATTGCTCAAAGACACACTAAATAGTTGGTATTTGTCTCTTCTCAAGTTTAATTTTGAACTATTAATAACCTTTATGTGGTTGTTTGAACGGTAGGCACAGTCACTGTTCTGTTGTTGTAGAATACGTACCTGAATTGTACAATGCTTGTCTTTGTTGTTTCAGTGGGTAGTCCACGTTCTGTACATGTTTGGTGTCCCAAAGAGATGAAGAGATCTCCCAGAGATATTACAGAACTGGATGTTGTTCTAGCTGAGTTTGAGAAGATAGCAGCAAATTACAAGTAAATATTCTGCTTCCCTATGGCTGAATACACAGAGTTTTTAAAAAATAAAATTACCTGTGTTTTTGCTAGTGAGCTGTCCTCTAGGGAATGCACTAGTGCCTTGTTAGATTCTGATGTTATTTTAATGATCACTAGGTTTCTGTGATACAAATATTTCTCATATGTGATCTTTAGGTGGTTTCCAGGAATTTGGTATTTTTCCAAACACAGGAACAACACAGGTTATGTTTGTCAATGTAGAAATTAAGCTCCTGCTAATATGTGAAAGATCGGCAGTTGCCTGTGCTACTTGCTGCTGAACACTGGGTTTTATTCATTACTTAAAGGAATGTTTTTGGATGAGATTTCTCCTTTACTAAACCAAATGTGTTGTGTTTTCTCCCCCTGACTTCTCCAGACAAAGCATAGAATCAGACACTTGCAAAAAAGCTATCAGTGGCTTCTGTTCTGCTTTCAAGGACCAAATCACCGATCTCGTAAGTACACCATAAATAAAATCAATGTTGTGGTAGTGATTATAGAGCTGTGTGTTATGTTGTAGTCAAAATGGCTATGGTTTTACATCATCCTGTTCACCTTTATTTTATGATACTTGAAATTTTTCTAATCACTTGTCAGGATAAATAATACTAAAATGGTTTGGTTTGTGCAGTCTCTATGCTGGCTTTTATGAGAATTGTCCTTAGACACAGTACTGTTGTCATGCAAGTACCTTGCAAAATTTTCAGCTTTTGAGAATAGGGAAGCAATAATATTTGTTATACCTAAAGCACTGTGTGGTAAAACTGGAGAGCTGGAACAGTTGAATGAGCAAACATTGTTTAAAAAACTTACATACTAGAGTTCTACAAAGTTGATGATTTAATTTTTATACTATGTCTCAGTGTTGATGCCTGGCTAAGACCTCTAACATAGATCAGGGAAAAGAATCCTTTTTTAATTAAGAGTTTGAACCTAACTGTAAAAAGCTGATTAGCTTGGAAAACTAAAATTTTTTCTCACTGATTACAAGTAAAATTCAACTTTGTAGGAGCTGTGTAAGTCCAATGGGTAAGTACTAAAACTGTAGTTCTGAGAGATTTAGAATTACTAGAGCTTTAGAATTACTGGTTTTATACATTTTACATAAACTTACAGAAAAACTATGCTAGATAATATTATGCTAATTGGTACAAGGAGTGTTAATTACACCAACTTGTGCAAGATGACTAGTTTTGTGGAACAGTCTTCCTCTGGCATGAGGAGAGAAGAAAGAATTGACACACAACTGATATACTTGTAGTCTTCCTTTGAACTAGTGTCATGGGTTTTTTTAAATAGCTTTTTGTTATTCCAAAGTAATTCTTGCAACAATGTTTTTAGGAAGATAGAGATGAAATCAAGACCCATAGTCAATCTGTAATTCTTTTTTTCCTCTGTAGATAGTGGACATTCAGGAATTAAAGAATACGAAGAAAAAAAATGCTAAGGTAAATACATATATATCACTGGGTTGTACAGCATACAGAGGTGGGCATTGAAATGTCAAGAAGTTGACTAGAAGAAATAAAAAAAAAAAAGAAATCACAAAAGTGGACCACCAGAACCACCAGAGTTTTTCTGGAAATTATCTGAGTAAATATGATAGATTGTAGACTCCATAAGGAAAGAAAAAAGAAGGAATGCACATTAAGATGTGTAGGAATCTATGGATGTTAATTACATATTTATTTATTTTTTTTAATGAGCACTGGTGAGGCCTCTGGAGAGCAAATTAAATATTGAGAGTTAACCTTTAAGAAACTTAGATGAATATAAAATCTAGGAGAGCAGCAAAGATGGTGACCTGTGAGGGTAGAATTTGATTGCTTTGTTTAAAGGAGCTCCATTCCCTAGATACATGCAAACTTTCTGTTCAGAGGAAGGCAGTTCCCCTGTTCATTCAGAGTAGTAGGAGACTGAAAATGTGACTGAGGCTGTCGACAGGAGGACAAACTAGTGTAAGAGCAGAAAGACATTGGAGTGGTTTCATCAGGAGAGGTGAATGCCCTGCAGCAGAGGGAGATTCAAGAGCAGGTTTGGCACTGTCTGCTAGAGGCCTTCTGCCCAGATGAAGCTCTTCCACAAGCTTTTTGGTGACAAAGTAGCTTTTAACAAGTCAACAGCAGATTTATTCTGGCAAGTGGCCATTAATGTGCTCAAGTCTTGTTAATTTCAGGTAGATATAAGCTACTCTGCATGTGAAATTAACATTTTAATACACATCTAGCACTCACAGCCACTCGGAGTTATCTTCATTTTGCCTCAAATACATTAGTTGCTAAATTTAAATTTATTATTAGCTTGTTTGTTTTTTTTAATTGGATGTTGTATTAAAGAAAGCTTAATTATGCTCATCTCCCTGGGTATGGCAATTGGACTGAACATACATTTCTATTAGCCTGCATTTTTAAAACAGAAACAAACAAAAACCTGCTAGAGTTGGTCATGTTTCAGTTCAAAATGTCACACATTTCTCTTGTATGCTCATAAATCCAATGTTCCTTAAGAGAAATTTTGGATGGAGGTGACAAGTCTGACATTTTAAAGAGCTTTGAACTGTTTGAAATACAAAGTACGACAGCTTATAAGGTCTGATATCTCGGAATCTTCCACACCCAGAATTAGAAGTATAAAGCATCAAAGAAAAAAAGCCAATGAAATTTGAATTGTTTGCCTTTGAAGTTACAGACACTGTTTCAGAGGCTTTTCTCACTATTTGTTTCAGGTAATAACAGACATCAAAAAGAAAAGGCAGCAACTGTTGCAACTCAGAGAAGAGCTAATTGGGTATGTTTCTAATAATGCACAGTAATAGCCTGAAGAGCTTAAGGAGTCTGCTATTTTGAAAGTAACTGGTTTTGTTCTTCCAACTCTGCTTCTGTTCTCTATTGTTTTCCATTTTCACAAAAGCTCCAGTTAACCTCTCCTTTCCATATTTCAGTTGCCCTAGATAGCCATTCTTGCAAGTTCACTTAAGTAACTACTAACTGGTGTTTCAGACCATATATATGTTCACAAGAAAAACACTAACATTCCCCTGGAAATGCAAAAGTGATGAATCATAAATTTACAAAACTAATACAGAGGTCTTTTTTCGCTTAGAGGTTGGGGAATGTGCTTCACCTCTGCAAATTGGCAGGGATGCCTCTGCATACATGGTTTGCTTCCATCTCATGTGGCTGCACAACTCCCCTTCTCTAATTTGGGATTAATCTTAAGTATCACTGAGATACACAACAAAAAAGTTATGTACTTTGGAGGAACCGCTAGAGTTCCCTAAATCTAGTTGGTTACTAGTGACAAGCTTTATAGTGAAGCTGGTTAGGCATTAGGAGGAAATTGTTTAGTGTGAGGGTGGTGAGCTACTAGCACAGGTTGCCCAGGGAAGCTGTGGGTGCCTCCTCCTTGGAAGTGTTCAAGGCCAGGTTGGATGGGGCTCTGAGCAACCTGGTCTAGTGGGAGGTGTCCCTGCCCATGCAGAGGGGTTGGAACTAGATGATCGTTAAGGTCCCTTCCAACCTAAACCATTCTGTAATGTTAACTGTAGGGAACCCCATGGGCTTGGATCTACTAAGGCAGATTAAAAGCCATTTCTCATTGGCCATGAGAGTTGGGTTTTTTTGTACTGTGGACAGACTTCACTCCAAGAACTCAGTAAAAGCATCTCACAACATGGGTTTGAACCCTCAAAGACTGAAACCTGTCTTCTCATTTTTTAATTTGCTGTGTTTTCATCCTTTTATCATCTTAAAGAGATTTTTGCTGCAAGACTGTTAAATAAAAATAGCTGTTGATGCTCAGTTTTTTGAGTGCTAATTTAACAGATCGAGCTCTGGTTTTCTTAGGCAGAGTAGTAATTAGTTTGTAATTCCTCAGTGTGCTTCAGGGTAAGCACTGAAGACCTCAGCCTTCAAGCAGGTGTGTGCAGGAGCAGAACACTGGGTGCTTAAGAAACTTCACTTGAAAAACTTAATTGCTTAAGAGATAGAGTGGTTATTTTGTCAGACTCAAAAGTGAGATGTGAGGAAAAGTGTAGGGTTTTTTTGTGGATTTGGAGCCATGCTCCTGTTGAAATATGCTAGTTAGTCTAATGAAACAGTACATAATGCTAACCTACGCTTTGTATATCTGACAAACCTTTCCCTTGAGGCTTCAAAGGAAATATGTTTGTAGTTACTCATGAAATAAAGATGCAGTAGTCATCAAACAAAGTCTCCATCTTTTTCAGAGCTGAACAACAACTGATAAAACTACAAAGAGAATATGCAGAGATACAGGAAAGGAAAACTTCCTTGAGGCAAGCAACTGAGTTACTTGCTGATTTAAAGGAGCTACAGCAAGACTGTTTGGATTATAGAGAAGAAAACCCAAAAGAAGAAGTGGTAGTAAGTACATATTTTGTGTGTGTTTCTGAACTCTTCTGGATCAGCCCCTCTGCTTTTTTTTTTCCCTGGACACATGGGCATTTCTCTTAATGTTTAAGTTACATTGAATAGCAGTATTTTGTTCATTGTCTTTGTGGAAGCAACTGGAGAACCACTGCTGTAACTGTAATGCAGGATCTCTTTTTTTTTGCTGTCATGTTACAAACTAAAGTATTTCAGAGGGGATTTTGCTGTCTTGTGTCAAGGAATTCAAAGGACAGAAGCAGAATGGTTCTCCTCAGGACTAATATTTTTAAATAGAAATTGAAGAAAGATTAATGGTGACAAGTAAGCACTTTCTTTTGCTGCTATTGTTGAAAGGCAGGGAAAGCTCTGGAACTTGCCTGTCTGTTCTGTAAGGTGTTTAATGCTAGGAACCACACTTGTGTTTCACAACCAGATGAACTTCTCATGTAGTCTCAGAACTCCTTTGCCTTTACCATGGCTCAGGACCTGCTGTGGTGGTTTCTGTTGACAGTGCTACTTGTCTGCCATGTGTGAGAAAATTCTGTCCTTTCAGAAGACCTTAAAGTTGGCACTTCTTCCCTTTGAAAAATCAAATGGCATCATTTCAGATAGAAAAATCATCTACATGTCTGTATTTGTTTTCCTCTAAGATTTAAAAACGTTGCCTTTATTTCCTTAACAACAGTATGGAACTTCCAGCTTACCTGCTCTTCTGGTGGAGTCACGGAGAATTCTAGGAGCAGAAAGACACTTTCACAATATTAACATGAAACTGGAAGAGGCTCTGGCTGCACAAAGAGGAAAGTCATCAAACAAACATTAAGTATTTTTCAATCAACTTTTTGACATTAGACCATTAGAATGGTCAGTGCTTAAAGCTTGTTTAATCATTGTTGCTGTGTTTTGCTTCAGATAAGTCAGCAGCTTAATCAGAGACTAGCAGAGACTATCTTTATACTGTCAGATGGTCTGTGTGAGAACCTACTCAGATGGTCAGTGAAATTTAAAAAATAGCAATTTTAGTAAAACTTGTGCTCTGTTGACAGTGTCAGTTTCTAATCTTGGGCTATTAAAGTCATGTGATATTGAAAGCAATATATACTTTTAAAAGAGAACACACACACATTGGTTAAAATATTGATAGACTAATCTTTTTTATTAAATTTGTATTTTAAATAAATAATTTAATTCCATTTCTGGAAGTAATCTGTTTTACTTGGCTTATCAGTAAAACTCAGATGTACAGCTAAGAAAAGAGACACTATACAGAAGCCAGTATTAAAAGTGCTTAAAATTGGTGCAGCATTCATGACAAGTTTTCAGTCCAGTACTCTTCAGCCCCTGTGTAATCTTTTGTGATCACCTTGTGCTTGCCAAAGATCATCCAGCTGTGCGGATGCTCGTTTGTCACTCGGTTCTTTGTCCCACAGCTCCAGAAGAGCATTTTTTTTTAAAACATCACAGTGTCTTTCACTGAAGGCGAGTGACGCGCATTGTGTCACAGCAGGTCTCATTGCTTGCTGTCTGCTAGCCACATCTGTGCCTAGCTCTCTTCTTTATTGCATGTGTCCTGTTTCCCTAAAACTTCCAAAAGAACTTCATCAGGAATTTCTTCCATGTCATAATTCAGACTATCATTTGCAGCTTCAGCTAGTTCTACATCTTCAGTAGCTTCTAGGAAACAAGCATCATCGCTTGCATCGTCCCACTCACTGTCTGACAACAGGATGTTTTGAGACAAGCTTTTTTCTAGAGATTCTGAGCTTTCTGTCAAGTCTGCTGCATTAGAATGTGGTGTTACTTTTTCTTCTGTGTTCCCCCTTTCATCCGTTAGTGTATATTCTTCTTCCTTTTTTTGGAAAAAAAGATTACTATTTAGTCCATGTGAAAATGGCCTTCATGCCTTTAACTGCTTTGGCCTGAAAGCCTGAAACTCTTCCTGTCCTATACAATGGATCCCCCAGAAAGCTGGCCAACAAGACAGATTTTCCAGCAGGTTAATTTACAACCATGAAATCTGCAAAAGCCAATTGTCATTGGAATAAAAACCTGCTGTTTTTCTAGCAAAATACAAGTAGTGTGTTATATACAGCTCCTTAAAATCATACAGGTCAAAACTGATTTCAGTGTCTCTTTAAAGATCCTGTCAGGATCTGAAAATGCATTTCAAGTATACTTTCCAGGAAATAACACTTAATAGCTATTGTTCTGCTTAAGCAGAGCTTAACATGCCAATCTGCAGCATAAAAATTGGAAGTGAAAATTTGAAAGTTGCAAAGAGGTCAAACTTATTGCCTACCCGGTGGAAAAGCTTTTATGTTCAGGGCTTAGAATCTAGGTGCAGTATCAGGTTGGTTTAAACATTGTACCCATGTGGGTAAACATAAACTGCTTTAATACACTAAATGGAGTTAAGCGAACAATGTTGAGGGTCACTGATGCAAATTTGACTGACTCAAGTGTTCCAGGAGCAGTTCTGTTTAGCTGGCCCAGCATGTAGTCAAACACGCACATCAGAGCTTAACTTGGGCAGTTTTTCCATTCTGCATCTACAGTGGTCTTACGTTTTATGCACTGGGAATTGCTGTTCAGACCAAACCAGAAGAAAATACTTAGTCCCAGGTGAAGTCAGGCTATTCAGTAATTTAGATTTATCTGTGCTTAAAATTTTTGTGCTAGATCTGCTGCTGGAGAATTTAAAAAGCAATACATGGAGCTACCACACCAGCACAGCTGCTTTGGGTACTATTCTTCACCAGTGTAAGTAACAGACTGCACTAGTGAGGCTTTTCAGTGGCTCCCAGAGGCAGCTTTACTCACCAGAGCTTTACCACAGCAATAGGACAAAAACATACCTCTTTGAAAAGAAAAGGGAGACGTAGCTGAGGTGGCAATGGAAAACCTAAATCAGATATATAGCATTAATTAAAGTTAACATTCCAAAAAGCATTAAGTGTAACTGCTTTGAAATCTCACAATACATACTTTGTGATTTGAAGTTACTTTCTCTGCAGACTGGATCATGACATTTTTGATACCAGACCTCCTTCTTTAGATCTACCAGAATCCTAAGAAAGAAATAGTTCAGTTGTTAGTACATAAGTGAAGAGAATGAATTCAATAAAGAACTCACACCGGTTTGTTTGTCCCCCCCATCTACAGATACTGCTTTCATACTCTGACATACTTATTACATTCCTGTTTTGTACAGTCTTCTTTCTTTCAATAAACTTCAGGCTTCTTAACTTTAAAAATGTGTTTCTTACAAGACTAACATTTGAAAATGAAATGTAGTCAACTTCATTACATTGAGCTTAGAAGAAAAAGTAATTGAAGTAACTTTAGTATATAGGAACCAACTGTAAGGGAAGATTTTGTTGCTGCTGTTACAGATCATTTAATTATAAAAGCTAGATAAAAGCACTATTTCCTGTCAACTGATTAGACAACCCAGATTTTTCAGCTGTGCTTTAGAAACACCAAGCTTCAAGCAACTTGCTTGAGAAATATCAAGTTCATCTAGTGTAGTGGCTGTGGAATTTTTTTTATACCTGTATTTCTCAAAAACACATTTCTTTCAGTTATTTCCAGTGTTATGTAGACTTATTTTTAAGTTCAAATATTTCTAATGATATACTGCAATTCTAATGTCATTTAGAAAACCTGACTTTTCAACACGTATTTTGCTAAAACTAGTAAGTCTGAGCCCTTGTAGAGGCACTGGCCAAATTCACCTTGACTGAAGGGATGGCAAGAGTAGTTACCTTTGCCATTTTAGTAACATAATGTAATTCAAGATGCACTGTAAAGGAATTTAGAAGTGGTCTGTTTACTTTCTCTTATTTCCAATTGTTCAGCTTCCTAGCTAAGAAGTAACAAATCATGGTACCACTTAACAGCTTTCATGCACTCTGACTTGTATGTTAGTATGTTTAGGCACATATTTTTAAAAGCATGAAGATTTCTTCACAGAAAGAAGTTGGGGGAAAAGTTGCGCTTTTTTTTTTTTTTTTTTTTTTTAAAAAAAAAGGAACAAAACCCCATTATGTCCCCACAGAGCAAGAAGAGTAGAAACTGTAGCAGATGCTGATTCTATCCATAAGGATAGAATAGAATAACAGTTGAGCAGGAAAATAAAATGGTTTAAAGTGAATAGTTAAAAAACATACATGATATTGTTACTTTTGTGAGCTCTTCCAATATTTTCACACCAACGGTAACCAGAAATATCATATACAAGTATTTCTTCCAGAGAGAAATAATTCCATCGTCGTATCCCTGGGGGGGGAAAAAAAAAAAAAAAAAGTATTTAAAAATACTGCTGTGGAATGCTAATTTTTAAATAGTAAGGGGGTCTTTACCTCCTTGCACTCCATCTTTGTTAACCAAAGAACGAACAAAACAATCAATTTCTGGATATGGTGAATCCTGATAACCTTCCATGGAATCTGTAAAACCAAGACCACAGATAAATGTCATTTTTGGTTTTGTCACTGTAATATGTAATTGTTGCACATTATATGGACAAAAGACAGAAAATGTACAGAAATTACACAAAATCTTTAAATAAAACCAGGGATAAATCCAGTGTAATTTCCTGCAGATACTGAAACTGAACACCCCTCCCACAAGGTACAGGGGAACTGGGACAAAGCAGGACAGCTATGGGAGCAGGAGGGGAGGGTAAAGGGCATCCAAGCACTGCAGAGCATCCTGCATTCCAGCTGTATTCCCCACCCCATGCAGAAAGCTAGCAAATCAAAGCTCTTCTGGAGCTAATCAAGTGTGTAAGTCACAGCACATCTAATTCGAGCACTTTCTATACGGTAGATAAGGCTTGAGATACCTCTACTGCTTCTGGTAGTTTTACTGTTTATAAAAGCAGACATTTTCCTTTCTTCCTCTGAAAAGACAGATGTCAGGACATGCGTGTCATCCCTCGCTCTGAAGAGAGAACACAAGGGAAAAATATGATTGTTGCAGCCTACCACAGTATGGCAGAACAGGACAGAGTCCTGGGCAACCCACTCTAGGTGGCCCTGCTGGAACAGGGGGGTTGGACCAGACAAATTCCAGAGGTCCCTGCCAACCTGAACCAGGTTGTGACTCTCTGCATTACCCTTCTCTACCCCGAAGCACTTTTTCGTCTCGTTTTGATGGTTTCCTCTAACTTCTACCAGCAGAGGGCAGGGCTTTTTCCTTCTGTACAACAAAATTCGGTTCCTGCCAAAAATCCCAGGATCCAGCCATTTAAAGACTGCAGTACTACTCCTGCAACATTATTTGCTCTAGATGTAATAATTAAGCATATGCACCCTGGGAAAGTTTTCACTGTATTTTTCTTCTTTTCCCTGCTGTATTACTAGCTGCAAGCCAGATAATCACACAGCAGAATTTCTCATCCATACTCATGACAGACTAAGCCAATACACTACACAATTTATTCTACAAGGCTACTGGCATCTGTGCAGGATAATGAACATGTCAAGATATAAAAAAAAAATTGTTACGACAAACATGTTTTAATAAAAATATTATAGGTAATATCATAAGGATCAATGTACCATTTTAATCTCCTTTCTGCTACAGTAATGATCATTTTAAGAAACAGTCGGTGCAGTGCAAGATGTATCAGGGGTTTAGAGTAGATACAGAAAACTTGATTATTATATATACTAGTATTCACCCTAATTATGGTTATATTTTGAGTGTGTACACACAGGTAAGGCACAACTCAGAAGCCATACCACATGTTGTGTTCTTTAAACATTTCAAAGTAGGCTTAAAGAAAAAACAAACCTGCATCCCAGTAATTTTTTTTCT